TATATGAGTTTTCACAATTGGGAAATGGAATTTGAAAAATTTCTTCGTTTACATGATTATATTCATATATACAAACATTTTCCCATGTTTTACAAATTTTGGAGTTGTTTTGTTATTTTCAATTGAATTTACAAAACCCAGTTTTCAGTAGTTTTTCAGAAACTGTTTATCTGTGTTCAAACATTTATTTCTCTCAACTGGGAAGTGACTTTTCAGAAATTCTTTCTCTAACATGTTCATCTACATGTCTAGAACCCTCCCTCAACATTTTATGATTTTTGGAGTTTATTTGCTATTTTTAATTGATTTTACAAAGTCAGATACGTAAAATTCCAGAATTATCAAAAACTAAAAACTGCATGTGCATGTTTGCTACAGTGCGGTCGACTGCCACGGTTGACCGTGCTACAGTGTGGTCGACCGTGGCAGTCGACCGGACTGCCACGGTTGACCGTGCTACAGTGTGGTCGACCGTGGCAGTCGACCGTGGCAGTCGACCGTACGTAGTCCAGAAAGTAGTTTTTGAGTTTTTCTTCTCGCGGTCGATCGTGACGGTCGACCGCCGAAGTTACCGTTGCACAGTAACGGTAACTTACTGATTTTTGTCTTTTAGTGATTTTTTGGGGTTTTTGGGGTTGTTTTCTTCTACCCTATATATACCCCATTGTATTTATAATTTTATACACAATAAATATGTTTTAAACAAGTTTTAGAATGTTTTAACAAGGGTTTAAGTTTTGTTTAAAGTTTGTTTAAAAAACTTTTAAGCAATTGAGAGTTTGATTTTGTGAAATTAATTTCACAAGAGCTAGAAGAGATCATCACTTGGTGTTTGAGTTTCAATCCATCCCTCTCTCTCTCTCTTGTCATTTAGAGAAGTTTTTCTAAACTCAATTCTAACTTTTATTTATAATTATTTGTTGATTATCATTTCTATTAAGCTAGTATTTACATTTGAGTTTTGTTGATTTTATTTCACTCATTGTTTACACACACCCACTTGAGCTTATTGTATTTTCGTACATAGTATATTTGGGTTGGTGGGAGTTATAACAATTAAGTATGAGCTTTCATTGTGTTCTCATCTATTATAGAGAACAAATTTATTATTTGTTACATTGTGAGATTGTAAAGTTTTCGGTGAGCTAGAAAACCGAGTGTGAGGAGTGAACGTTGATCGGTGAGCGTTGAAAACCGACATTATGAGTGTGAGTGTTACGTTGATCGGTGAGCGTTTAAAACCGACATTGTGAGGTGTAAACGTTATTCGGGTGAACGTAGAAAACCTGGTTGTGATAGTGGATTTCTCCCCAGGAGTGGGGAGCGAAGACGTAGGACGGAAGGTCCGAACTCCGTGATCATTTCAGTGTGTTTGAGTTTGTCATTGGCGCATTTGCTTATGCATTTATCTTATATCGCCATTGCTTATTACTCTTGTATATTTTGCCCTATCACTTTTATAGTTTGATTATATCACCCTTGTGTTAGTTTATATATCCTTGCATATATTTTTATCATATAGGATATATCTCATTGTTCATATTACTTATCCTAGCTCACATATCATGTTGTATTTCATACTTGCTAGGATAACTTGTTAATAAGTTTTAATTAGCATAAAATCGGATTAGCATAAGACCCAGGGTCTAACAACGAACTCGCATGCATGGGTCGCCAGCTCGCCTACAGGGTCGTCAACCCGCCTGTAGGGTAGCCAGCTCGTCTGCAGGGTAGCCAGCTCGCCTGCAATGTCGCCAACTCACCTGCATGCTCCAGCTCGCCTGCTGCAGAATCACCGACTCGCCTGAAGGCTGGTCAAGCTTGTCAGCCTTCCACTTGAGGTATGAAATGATCACATTAGTAGTCACATCCCATGTTTCAAGGGAGAGAGTATAGTTCTCTTTGTCCCATTAGTGGTCACATCCCACAAATTAAGGGGGGAGAGTATGGTGCTCCTCACCTAGGCGTGGCCATATCCTACAAATCAAGGGATTAGCCATGGCTCTCCTTTTCTATAGATAGCCACACTTGGCTACATGAGAAGTGGTCTTTGGTCTTCTTGAGGACTTGGACCTTTTGAGGGGTTGGCTAGGTCTTAGCCTTCTTTAGAGCTTGACCTTTTAAGTGGCTGGCTAGACCTTCTTTGAGACAGTCACCTTGGCATTTTTAAAGTCTCAATTTGAACTCTCGGATTTGGAGAATCTTGGCTCATTGGCTCTGCAAACTCTTGTATTGTAGCCTTCTTGGTGCATTCGTCCTTGATACTCATCAAGATCGGACATTTGAACTCCAACCGTAACTTCGATCGGATCGTCTAAGGGAAGCAAACTTAGCACGAGCACCAAGGGAGGCATCCTACCGCTACCAAAGAACCCACGTTAAAATAAGGAGGGTCATTCCCTTCTCTTCTGTTATAAACATTAATCATTAGTTTGTAATAAGCCATTCTTATAACACAAATGACCCATCGAACGGGAAGTCAATTTTTACACCCAATAGGTCTCGGCCACTTGGTCTTCGAGGGGTGGACTGACACTGTCCTTCAAGTCGACGAGGAGGTCTCGGCCACTTCGAATCGACGAGGGGGTCTCGGCCATTCGAGTCATCTGGGGGGCTGGACTCTTCGGGGAGTCGGCTTGAGTCGGGTGGACTTTCGGGGAGTCGGTCTGCCTTTCCAGAGATGGACCCTTAAGCTCTTTTGCTTGTTCTAAGTTGTTGTGCAGGGATAAATATAATTTTTATTGCCTACAAAGAACATAATAGTACTGTTAGATTTCAAAATCTTTAAATATTAAGGTAACATATTTTACTTCTAAAATTTTTATTAAAGGTCACTCAACATAAAATTCACATTATATTTGTCTCAAATTTGTAGGAAAAATATGCATGTTATCGTAAATTGTGTTAACAATATATACCAACATAAAGATACAACTTATTGAAGAAATACAAAAATGATAAGTAAACCATGCAAACATACATATAACACAATAAAGAAAAAATATTACACTTTAAAGCTAATACACATGGTTTATTCAGAACAAGCTGCTAATATAGAAGCATATCTATCAAGGCTCTTTACAAATACAATACAAATTTAAACTATTGATATATGCAATAATCACAATATCAAAGAGTGATCTTATAAGACCTACTCTATAATTTTCACAATTAAATTTAAAAATACTCTACCAATATACGGACACGCTATGGACCTATAATGTAAATATAATTACTATTTACAATAAAGTTGAGCCGTGGTTCTAGCTTGCAAAGGCTACAACAAGAAGATTGGATAGAGATGTTAATAAGAATGTCCAAATGATAAATATCACAGAATTACTAATAAAGTAGTACCAAGGTTGAGTAATATCCCTTCTTCATGAAATAAACACATCAAAATTAAATATTAACATTATACTCTAAGCCAATTTGATAATAAAAAATACAGTTATTTAATTCAGATCATTATGGAAAATGATATAGATAGAGTAAAAATGACATTATTTAACGCGATAGAAACTCTTATTAGATGCACACCAGAAGAATTTATTACAAATAAAAAAAACGTAACTCCTAACTTTAAAAAAAATAAATTAGAAACACAAAATTTTCATAAATATGAAATTAATATTTAGTCTTATTGAAACACAAAAATAATCAAAGTCTGTATTTCTAGAATTTTTGTTGAACATCAAAAATGCATTCAACTTCTTTGTGAAGTAAGACGAGAAGATAAAACATGAACGAGCTCAGGGAAAAATAATTACACAAGAAATCCAGCTCCAACCTGATATCACAATAAATATAGATGATGAAGACACAACTCTAGAATTGCTCAGGAAAAAGATAAAGATGGAGAAGGATTTATCTTAGCTCAATAAAAATATAAAAAGAATAAAAAATTTATTTTCCGAATATTTTATAGAATAGCTTAATTTTTTGAGTAAAACCATAAATCTTTAGAAATGATTTTTATGAACTCTTTTAAATATTTTTATATGGTTATGTGGATGATTTTATCATATAAAATATACTAGAGTTAGCATTAACCTTTAGTCAATGATTTTTTCTGAAGTCAATCAATTAATTAGCAACAAACTTTATATTCTCTTTAGTTTTATTTTAGCCCACTTTTAATTAATCATCTTGGCTTTTTTAGCTTTAATTATTCATCTTTCTTTTATAACACTACTTTTTAAAGTGTTTTTCAGTTTTACAACATTATACTTTGAAGCTTGGTTTCATGTCGATCCAAATCACGTGAAAATTTAAATTGGCTTTAGATTACATTTGTTTCCTGTTAATTTAGTTATCAACATAAAAATTTAAATTTGGTGTAGCTCATCAAAGAAAATAAATAATCGTAATGCTAAAATTTAAATGCATAAGTGAGCAATAACAATCAAAGTGGAATTGAGGAACAAATTTTAGTAAAGAAATAAATTAAAAACATTTAATCATGATATTTAACCACGTGCATTGCACGTGCATAAAACTAGTACATACATAAAAGATTCGGTATGTGAATTATTTTATAGGGTAAATTTCACAAAACCCCAATTACTTCGGGGTGTTTTCCACGAAACACCTACGCACTTTGTTTTTCTCACTAAACACAAAATTCTGTAAGAAAACTTTACAATAAGTTCAATTATGACAAAAAAAAAAATCGAAAGCTATCGACATTTTATTTTTGTTTTGAGGGAAAGATACAGTCAAACTAGCTGCCAAGAGATGAAAGATTAAGACAGCAAGATTTATGTATACAACACGCGACAAGTCTCACCACTATACTTTTTTGCTCGATAATTATTTATTTATTTTTTTAATTCACACTAAAATTAGTCCACATCAAAACTTGCCTCATACGGAGACATGTACCCTGGTGACGTATCCCTTTGGTGCTGCCACAAACTGATCATCCCAATTAAAACCCACTAACTTCATCACGAAGCAAA